ACATTAAGTATGCTGATTCCTGTAGATTCTGATATGAAGCTCAAGTTTTTTTTTTTTTTTTTTTTTTTTTTTTTTTTTTTTTTTAATAAGTTCTCTGATCATTGATTGCATTGTCTGAATTTGGGGTGATTTTGCTGGGGCATGCAATCCTAGGAAAGTTGGCAACCTCAGTTCTTTGGCTTGAGAAATTGTCTTTCTGGCAGAATTTCTTTCTTTTCTTTTTTTTTTTTTTTAAGAAAAAATTGTCCCAAATTAAAAAATGACAACAGTTGCTTCTCTAAGCTAGGACTTTCTGCCATTAACAATGGCATTTTTTTTTTTTTTACATAAAAGTGTGATCCTAATTGAAATTGCAACTGAATACACAGTATAAATTGCATAATTTTGTTGAATTTGTGCACATCAGGGCTCAATATTGTGCTCTTAGCTGACTGCAGCGGCATTCCTGTATGGTCTTCTGCTGCTGTAGCCCATCAACTTCAAGGCTTGATTGAGCTGCATTCAGAGATGGTGGCCCATAAACCTTGATTGTAAATAAATAAATATAAAAAATGGTTATGAGCAACTATTGCCTCCATTATAATCCCAATGCAGGCTGTACATTTTCTGACATCATTGGCAGTACATTTTCATCCACACAAAAGTATAGTCGTACGAAGTCGAATGTTGAAGAAACACATTGATGTTTGAAGGAAAACACTTAAAAACAACAAAAAAAAGACACATTTTGGTAGCTACAAATGTCATGGCGGGGGGAGTTTCCACAATCTATAAATTGCCATTAGCCTAATTTTCCATCCGAAATGTCAGTTAGACCACAAAACAGTGGTGTGAGCAAAACATCTTCCGAGAGCAACTTGACCCTGAACAAGAACTAAAAAAAACCTCCAGGCTCTAAGAACAGTTTGAGTTCATGCTTCCACTGCACTGTGGTTAAGTTTTTTATTTTTTGTTACTTTGACAGTGCTTATTAAAAATAATATTGATCATAAATTATTCTGTGCCTTCAGTGTGTCTCAGTACAGTGACGAGAACATGATGCAGCCGTACAATCTGGCTGTGTGTTTCGGCCCCAGCCTGGTGAGAGGCCTGCAGGACGACGAAGTCGTGACTGTGCAGCCTCAGATCAATGCCCTGGTGAAGGGCATCATCCTGCAGCATGAAAGCATTTTTCCCAGTCAGAGCGAAGTAGAAGGACCAATGTATGAGAAGTGCATGACTCTCGAACAGGACGACTGGTGAGACGACGAAGCACATTTGAGGTTGCAGATAGATAGAAGTGAATGCAGAACATGTGGGGAAAAGTGAAACTGTCTGGGCCTCATCTCTTTTGCAGTGAGGTTATTATTGAAGGAGAAGTTGAGGCGGATTACAGCCAAAGCAGAGATGGTAAGTATGCCGTTTATTTTGACTTCAGAACCGAAATTTTTATATAAACAAAAAAAAAACCCTGTTTTGCAACAGATTTAGAAATGGGATTTCCGGCGGGTATCGGCCCAGATGTGTCTGCAGCACCTGCACTGACAAAGGCTGAGCGTCCAAGAGCAAACAGCAGCGGCTGCTTAGATTACAGTAAGGTACCAGCAGGGGGCGTCCTTTCTGCGTCCGGAAAGCTAACGCTGCAGATTCCAGTTGGACCACAGTACAGGCAGAAAAAAGTGCTCTCTCCATCTTATACACGCAAAGAGTAAGTAACACTGCTTTTAATCTATGGACCAAAGAGGAATGAAATACTCAGATTGAAAAAAAAAATTATATATACTTACTTACATTTATACTTAGTTATATCTGAACTTATTCCAGTTGTTCTGATCAACAATATATGCATTTTTTTCATATACAATTCCAAAAACGCACAATTAAGTATTTGTGCAAAAAGGGGAAAAAAAGAAAATGCATAAGTTATTAAAAATGTTTCTGTAATTAAAATTTTAATGTGGAAATAATTGAATACATCTTAATGTTAGATCATTTGTTATGGAAACCACTTGGTTTACTTTGACAGTAATGGTGGACAGTTGCTTGTAGGTTTGCAGTTTGGCACCAGAGGAAGAAAGATAAAGGTTATATTTACAGCTACGTTCAATAATAGCGGTACGTCTGAAAACATTGAGTAAAGCTTAAAATCCTTAAAAAGTGTCTGACGTTACAAAAATATAATGTCCACTGTTTAAAATTGTTTAGCATCATCAATAAAGAATTTAGTTAGAAAAAAAATAGCATTTAGTTGCATAAAACCTGTTTGAGAAATGGGTGTTGAACCACATTCCACAGTTCTTCTGAATTTCTTACCTTAGAAACGGAGCATTTAACGTTTGTTCACAGGTCCTATACTGGATTCATTAATCTTGTTGGTCTGGAAACCAGAGCTTGCTCACTTCCTTTTAGGCTTGGGTCGTTATTTTAGTAAAATGCTAATTTCAAAAGCATTTCCTCTTCAGCAAAAGGCAGTACGACTTTTTCGATAACTTGGATGCCTTCAAACTGACCTCTGATCCCTGGTGTGTGATTTCACAATATCGTATAATAAGAAACATCCCCATATCATATCCGAGTCACCTTGCTTCAGTGTTTGGGTTTCACAAAACGACCTCGGTTTCATCAAACCTTCAAAGGCTGTGTAATTTCTCTTTACGTTAGTCGATGTGTAATTTGGTAAATTAGAACCTTGTCAGCCTATTTTCAGGGGCCTCTTGTTGATGGTGTCACAATACATCACTCACACCTTCTTTGATCATCCTGGAACTGAAACTTTAACTTTTTTTGATCAACAAGAATGGTGGAAGGTTTTTTTTTCTTATTCTTCCTAGAAAGTGGGATATTTTAGTTTTTATTTTATTTTTTTCTCCATGCAGATATCAACATTCATCCTCGGAGGACTTGTTTGTTAAAGTTGATAAGGTTTGTTTTTTTATTTCTTCATTTTTTTAAGTAAATGTTACAATGAATATATTTTATAGCTGTGAGTGATGCACATCTTTTGAAAATTGATATTTTGTGAAATATTTTCAAATAAAAAAATTATTACTGGTATAAAACATGATCATCAACAAAGTAGATTTCTTTTTTCTCTCCTTCCATTTATTTCATATTTCAGGAGGTCTGTAATAACATGGAGTCGGTCTTCAAGGAGCTTCTGACACGGCAAACGCAGCAGGATGCTTCTGCCCAGGCTCAACAAAAAAAGGCAAAACGTGACGGACGGAAAGGGAAGGGAACCAGTCTTTTCAGATCTACAGATCAACTGGACTGAGTGGATGAGCATCAGCACATGACGGCAACAGAGATGATGGAAACCGAGGGGCAGGGTGAAGGAGTCTGACTGCAGCTTTTTCAGCACATCTATTTCTAGAAATCAGAACCCAGTGACCCCTGCTCCGAGGGACCCGTGACTCTGTATCCTCTGTCACCATGTTTCATTTTCACATCCGCTGGAGTGACTTCAAACCCACAGTAATTTATAAAAACTGGAAACAACTTGAAATGAAAAGATGTTTGCTTGGAACTAAATGAAGATGATTATCAGCTGAGAGTGAATACAAACTGAGACTATAGTGGTTGTATTTAATACCTTGTTTCCTATTTTGATTTTTCTGTATATAACAAATAAATTTCCTTTTATTTTCTAATTTTATTTTAGGCAAATGTGTACTTAAACAATACCTAATACATAAATACTTAATGATGGAAAAAGAAATGAACGTAAAATCTGAGCCACATTGTAAAAGATGATTTTCTTTTAATAAACTCTGCTTTGTTTCCTTTATGTGCAGGAATAACTGCAAATAAACATTCCTTATTACTTTGACATGTTGACACCTAGTTTGAACATCTTGGCCCCCTCTTCTGTACATGAGTGTATCGATGACTTTGGGTTTCCTTGTCTTAAATCATTGAACCACTATAAACTGTTAATTAAACTTTTTTTTTTTTTTTTAGAGATTATCAAAACAATAAATGCACTTATGCTATCTCCAACCCACTTGGCCTCTTTATTTATTGTGTAAAATTATCAGTGATATGTCTCAGACTTTGTTATTTACAGGTAGTGAATAACATTGAATTAATATATCCAAAAATAGCAGTAGAGACATGCTAAAAGCGGGTTAGCCATTATAAGAATGGTTTGATAATTTTTTTTTTCATTTTATTAATGCGGGCATAAACAAACTTAAGTGAATTTTTAAAGTAAAATGTAAAAAAGAAAATGTAGTTTTCAATTTTATAACTTCTTTTACCTGTTTTGTTTTTTCTTGTATATTTTGAAAGAAATCACTGGTCATATGAAAACAAGGGGTGTGAATAATTTTGGACTTAACTGTAATACTGCATAAATCATTAAACCAGCTCTACTTACAGCTATAGGAATATACTATAGTAAAATATGAATCTACATCATAAAATTAAAACCAAATGTCTATCTTCCTCATTCCCCAAGAAAAGAAATCCATTTCAAAATTTTTATTTTTTGCAAAATAGTATTTCCTGTGAATGTTGAGATTTAGCTATTGAGATATCAGAACATATTTAAGTGTTTTTGGAAGGATTTCAAAACCGGGTCTTGTATGAAAAAGTTTATTCCCCTGTTATAAAAGTTGGTCTTCAGACAGGGTCACACTATGAAAATACCATATTTTCTTCACGATAGTATTTTCTCTTAGCTTCAATTTAGACCTTTTTAAAAATAATTCTATTGAAGGAAGTGCTAAATTGTTGCAATAATAAAAAATAACCAGTCATATCAACATGTAAATGACTTAATGAATAAAAGATCCTCTTGTAATTATTTATCTTTTTTTTTCATTTTTCTTTGCACCATGTTATCAGATTGTGTTTTCATATATTGTTTTTATTTTTGTTCTTCTGTAGCACTTTTAGTTTTTTTATCGTGTGCCTTGTATTGTTTTATATTTCATTTTCAATAAAGAATTTATAAAAAAAAAAAATCTCTGTTGACGTGTCTTCAATGTTGTTTCCCAGAATGCTGTGCGGCGCTACGTACACCTCTTTGCTGCGCAGGCGCACTGGTGTGTTAGCGGTAGGCTGAGGTGTACTTCATTCAGTGTGGCGAGTTTACAGCGGTACTTTAACACTTATTTAGGGATAAAAAGCTACTCGTCAGACTTCAGGATGATCCGGATAGCTGCGTTTTTGACGATACTGGTGGTTGCCTGTTCGGGTAAGTGTAAGGGAAACATGGAAGGAGGTCCATTGGCTTCAGTTAGCTTGTAATTGCTAATATTCAGCCCATCAAAACACCCTGAAATGTCTTCTCACCATGTGTCAAGCCCGTGTTAATTATTGCATCTGCTCTGATGGAGTATTAGTGTATCTAATATTTAGCTAATCTACATTATTTGTTGGTAGGGGAGAGCTGCAAAGACCCAGTGATCACCCCGTCGGCCTACACGACCTCTGACGCCGTCATCTCGTCGGAGTCTGTCTTCATCGTGGAGCTCAGCCTGACCTGCGCTAACGGAGCCCAGGTAACCCAGAAAGCTGCTTCAGTGAGTTACTGCTCTGTTGCTGAGGGACTGACTGTGGTTTCATGATCACTGCTCTTCTCTGCAGAGTGTCACTCTGTATGCTGATGTCAATGGAAGACAGTTCCCTGTGACCAGAGGTCAGGATGTTGGAAAATACCAGGTATGAACTCACAGCTGGATTAATTTGTTTAGGCTGTCAGTTTCTACTTAATTCAAATTAGAGGTGCACAAAGTTAGAAATGACATCACATGAGTGTGGCTCCATGGTGGTAATATTGGTAAATAGTAGTTGTGATATATGCCTGTTTTCTTCTCTTCCTCATCTATTCACTCTGCACCATTAGCATTTTGAGGAATGTCATTTGTAGTGTTTGCTAAATCTTCCCCACTATGAAATGTGGTAGTTGTAGCATAACGTGGAAATGGTCTAGTCAAAGCATATTTACAATCTCTCTTGTTTTAGGTCAGTAAAAATTAACAAAATTCTTTATTTGCTAAATGCCTCAATAATGAGGCAATGTGTCAGGGATTTATTTAGTAACGTCTCCAAAATCAGAAGTTTACTTGAACTGTTTGACTTCGGTTAAACCTTTTGGGGTTTCTTTCCCAAGCTCCTCACAATAATTTGCTATAATTCTAGTTTATTCCTCACAAGCCTTTTCAGATACTAAAATAATTTTGGTAATTCTAGCTGACCTAAAACAAGAGGAACTTGTCTTTTTTATTCTGTTTTTGTAAACTTTTGATTTCAAACATATGTGTTGGGATGGCGACTCAAAGCTCAGACATGAACATTTATGCTCACAGAAACTCGTACTTAAGGTTCTGAGATATTAGAAACATTTTTAATTGCAATACTATTTCTGAACATAATATCAGTTATGATAAACCCACATTTTCTTGTCTCTTTCCTTTTTCTCTGGTAACCCAGCCACTCTTTGCAAGCTTTAGTGTCTCAACTCTAAAAATATACAAATTGTTAACACAATAGGCCAAACATGTTTTTGGTGTGCAGAGTTTACCTTCAAGCAGCTATTAGTAAATTGACCAAACTTTTAAAATATAATATTTTTAAGAACTAAACTGAAATTTAAATAGTCAAAATATGTATTTTTTCTCAGCACTTCACAACAACTCATAGGGGAAAGTAAGAGCGCTGCCCACCACAAATAACGATCCGGGCGGAACCCGGTGCGCTCCATATTTTAACGAAGCTTCGAGGCAGATCAATTTTCCTTGAGGAATTTTAATAATTGAGGTACTCGAATTATTCGAGGAATCGTTTCAGTCGTGGTTAACATCTTGACTAGATTTCTTGACACGTATTCTATTTGAGGTCAAATCCTTAAAGGGTGCGAAGTTTTAAAGGAATAGTGAACGGGTTTGAATCGGTTTCTCCCTGGTTCTCTTCCAGGTGTCCTGGAGTCTTCCCCACAAACAGGCCAGCTCAGGAACGTATCAGGTCAAATTCTTTGACGAGGAGTCCTACAGCGCCCTCCGAAAGGTACGTTTCGGTACACAACGGTTTCTTTTACTGTGAAATGTTTGATCTCATCTTAAGTAAAATGTTTACTGTCATCTGTTTCAGGCTCAGAGAAACAATGAAGACGTAAATGCGATTCAGCCTCTTTTCACCGTCAACATTGACCACCGGGTGAGTCACCTGCAGATGACTGCAGCTCTTTTCGTTTAAGTCAAATAGCTTGGATTGATGAAACTACAGTAGGGCTCGCCTTACTAAGTCATTCATTTAATGATCCAAATGTACGGCCTTTTAAATGCTTTAATAGGTCCTGAATTATATTTTGTGAAGGTTCTCATTTGCTCATTATTTCTACGTAATTTGCTATTTTGAAAAATGTGCTCTTGGTATTTGTTTTTGTCATTTGTAGTTCTGGCAGAGAAATCTGGATGTTACTGAACTGTGATAAAACAAACAAACAAAAAAACCCTCAAAGAGCAGAGAAGCAACTAAAAAGGATTCTGCTACTGAAACTCTCCTATTGTATTTAAGTGATGAAAATCAAAACCTTGTTGTATAATTATACAATTATATAGCTAGCAACTGATTATAATCAGTTGCTAGCTGCTTCGTCATGGTGAAGTGTCTTGTTAACAAAACCTGCTGTGAAAACAGAGATTTCAATATTTGGGTAAAAACTATAAACTGTAGATGAGGTTTGGTAACCCAAAAGAAGTGCCAGAAAAAGACAATTTAATTTTAGTTATATTTAACTTGGTTGATTTATTAAATAAATTGAAAATATTTTTTTTTTTCTTAAGCCACTCTGTTATCTCATGTGATGTCATTTCCTGTCAAACTCATCATATAAACTCGTGCTGAGGTTTGAAAAGGATGCAAATATTTTGTCTCACAAATCAGTAAAATAATTGTTCTAAGATCTCTCTTGGAACATGATTTCTCTGGCTTCATGACTGAAGTGGTGTCGTGCAAAAACACGCAGCTCTGAATGCGCCACTTGCTGGTTGACTCATTCGTTCCACGCTTCTCCTTTCAGGGTGCCTGGAGCGGCCCCTGGGTGTCGACTGAGGTCGTGGCCGGCCTGATTGGCATCCTGATCTATTACATGGCCTTCAGTGCCAAGAGCACCATCCAAGCATAACACGATCCGCAGTCGCTGCCTGTGACTACCGGATCTTTGAAAAAGACTGAATTCTGGCGGAGCTGGATCAACTAATCCATCACCATCACTGCAGCCGAACCAACAGGCTTCTGCTGCTTCCTCTTCCGGGAAACAAGCAGAGGTTGCAGTCTTTATTTCTTTTTATTCGGGCTGTCTTTTTGTCTTTTCAGACAACTTTAGTTTTTTCTTTTTTTTGTCACAACTGTCCTGTCCATTTTTATGGACATTTTTTTTTTTTTTTTAGCATCAAATCAGATTAATCTGAACAAACATTAAACACGCTCTGTATTCAGACCAGTTTAAAACCCCTTGATGGATCCACACCAGAACTGTGTTCTGAGTGGGTGAACTGGTCAGAGTGGGACGTGTGCAGATGGTTTGAACGCCGGTCGAGTTGAGCTTTCCGCGAACTTGAAATGTCAACAGAGTGAGAGCGCTGACTGGTCAGAACAGGCCTTTGGTAGACGCGTCTCTTCCTGGAATATTAATAAATGGCTTCTTGCTATCCATGTGTGGCTTGTTGATTCTCTTCAGCTCTAATTTGTCTTTCTCCGAAAGGACGCGGGAAATTTTATCATATTCCTTAACGACGCACATCGGCTACGCTGAGGGGTTTTTAGTGAGCTGATATATTACAACTGTTTGTGTCTTATCATTTGTGTGACCATAACGACATGTGTCCAGTGTGGGTTTAAGAAAAATGACAATCATGACTTTTTTTTTTTTTTTTTTTAAGGAACTTAAAAAAAAAAAAATTGTAGATCTCAATGAGTTTGCTTAAATAAGTGTTGTTATTAACTGAACATCTAAAAATCCAGCAAGAACCCGAGAGACGTTTCATTTTTCAGTAAGTCATAACTGCTTAGCTAACAGATCTTTTAGTTGCTTGTTGGTAAAATATTAGTTTCACGCACCTCAAATGTTTTTAAAAGCTTCAACATCAACAGCAGTAAAACGATCTATGATCAAGATTAGATTTGATTTAGAGGTTAATAAAACAAACATAAAGAATTAAGAGTGACTTAAAAAAAGGCCCTAATTCAGTAAACACTTGCTGGTGTTTTCTGATTTCAGAACCTGCAGTACCACCAAATGAACACATAGTGGCAGCACTGAGCTGCATTAATAAAGGCGTCTGACCTGACTACAGAAGAAAAACAAACCTGATGTTATGCTACATACATGACATTTAAATTGTTTTTCTAGAACAGCTGTCTCCTTCTTTACTGACCAAACACTGAAAGGCTATATACACTAGCTTCTTAAAGACATTTTAAAGAACATATCTTTTTTTATGCTGCTGTCATCACGCACCATGTAATGGATCAGTATCTTAATGTATCTTGAGCAATTTCTTTTTGTAAAAATACGTTTCTCTTTTGCTGGTCATTACCCATAATCTACACACAAATCTTTTTGTCTTAGTGTGTCGGATCTTAAGGACATTTTAATACACAAAGATAACCTGAATAAATTCAAAAGGCAACAGCCAGTAGACACATCAAAGGATGATTGCATTTACAAATGGATAAAAGCCATTCAAAAAAAAACAAAAAAAAAAACTGGACCTTTTACAGAAGTAATTGCACCTTAAACTGGTTGTGCCAAGAGGACAGTCTTCTCTGTCACTGTGCAGGTTTTTGGCCCTGTCCTCTTCGAAGAAATACAGATTTACGTTTGGACGATAATTAGCTAAACGACCTCAAACCATCAAACCACCAAACCACCACCGCCATGTCTGACTAGAGTTATGATTTGTCCTTCTGAAATGTTATTAGTTTTACAACAAATGTAATGAGATGCACCAAAAGGTTCAACTTGTCTCAGCAGTCCACAGAATATTGACCCAAATGTGTTGGCAATCATCAAAATGTGTTTTGGGAAATTAAATGAGGGCCTTTGTGTTCTTGTTGGTCAGCAGTTGCTTAATCCATAGAAATCTCAGTAAGGCTATTCTAGATACCATATCCCTCCCTTAATAAGTCATTTAACAAACTGCTTTATGATATTAAAATTTATTTGATTATCTGAAACATCTGAGCGTGACAACTACGGCAAAAACAGCAGGAATACGTGAGGGGATAAATACGTATCCACATAGCTTTATGACACAGTTGGAGCAGCGAGACAGATGGCAGTTCAGAGAAATCCTGAGCTGGAATAGATCCACACACCCATTCATGCAGACCTAATAAACTGTGGGAAGAGTGGGACAGCTGGATGGTTGGAGGGATATAAATGGAATGAGCAAACAAACAGTCAAAGACCTTTGAATCGGTGCTGACTGACGCTCTTCCTAGTTTCCGTTCAGAACGGAGAACTCCAACCCGCATGTCGATATCGAGACCCGATGATGAAGAGTTAAAAACTGACTCATATAGCTGTTGTTTAAAAAAAACAAAACACAAGTGTTTATTTTGCCAGGGAGCAAATGGTTAAAGATTAGTTTTATATATGTCAAATTCAGATTTATAAATAAAAATACGTCTGAGAAAGTATTTATTTTATTGTATTTGAACAATTACGCAACACATAATGTAAAATTCTCCTCAAAGATACTTCATGTTTATAATGACTTGATCAATGTTGTAACAGGATGCAAATATTGTGTTATGTGGCAAGAGCAACTCTGGAAGGACGATACATGATAAGCATCATCCTATTCTTTTAATAACATGGTTTTGTTTTATTGTCTTGCTTGACATTTTAACTATATGCCAGGTTTCAGACACATCCCCTGATTACTTTGATGTTTAAAAAAAAAGCCCCAATAAAGTTAATTTTGTCGCAACTTTTCAATTAAAAAAAAACATTTTCTGAACTCTTTAAGTTTAACAAACATTTGGAGACCAATAAGCTGCCGTCACATTTCAGTTATTGAAAGAAATGTTGTTCAAAAAACAGTGTGTATATGTGTGTGTACATGTGCTGTAAGGCAGATAAAAGCTGCTTTGACAGAGGTGTGTAAAGCACAGACTCCTGGGCAGACACTGATGGGCTTACTGGGAGTCAGCAATGTGGAAACTGGCGTCTCAGAGATGGTCTTCACATGGGGTCACACTTTCTGCCTAAAGGCGTTGTTATTGCTGCTCTTTAATCTCACTTTCTGTAAGACAGGACAAGGTCAACAAACGCTGGGCTAACTCAGTAATCTTACAGAGGGCTGTATCTTTATACTGCGCTGGCCACGTCCCTCCCTACAATAACAGTTTTTTTGTTTAACGTGTTAAACCTCCTTCTAATAAAACGGCTCAGAGGAGCTTTGCTTCTTCCATAACAGCTATTGTCTCTGTCTTGTCTGTGCTCGCTGCGACCTGCTTTGTCTGTCTGCGTTTCATTTGGAGTTTAGGCGACAGATCAACGTCAAGTAGCGAGGCAGCAAAGTGAAATAAAAATGATTGGTGGTTTTCCACATTTCTTTGCAAATACAAATCTGAAAGTTGTGATGTGGATCTGTCAGAGGCCAGAACCAACCATTTTCACACATTTGTCGTCGTGGCAACTCATGAAAATGCCTTTAATCAAAACCAGTCCATATTAATGGAATGCATGACTCTATTACTATGGACATTTTTTTTCCCCCTTTTCATGCAATTATGCACTACACTGTGTTGGTCTGTGCAACACATTTGCATAAAATACACTAAGGTTTGTTGGTTTTAAAGAGAGAAAATGTAAAAATCTTAGCGATATGAATATTTTTTGAATGTTGCTGTATATGTTCGAAACGACCCTTTTCTCCTCCATCACGTCAGGCACTCCTCATACATGCTGTGTTTATATGCATGGATCAGCTGGCCCCTTCACTATGAAATACTGCAGGTTAAACCAGAGGAGAGACATCACAACAAGATATTTCGCAGCACATAAATCCTGTAAAATGCATACTGAACAGACCCCATAAACCAGGTTTTATCAGACAGCGTCCACATGCCTCGGGTTTTTGTTTTCTCTTTTCTTCTTACTCTAATGAGACGAAACGCTGCAGAGGCTTGTTGAGGTGGTAGAAAAATACCTCTGGAGTAATGAAAACAAGGTGTCTCAGAGTGATAAAGGATAACCTTGATCCCAGAGGGTTCCCCCCCGCCCCCCTTTTTTTTTGAATCACTTAATATTTTTCCCCTTCTTGAAAACATAAGGCAAAAGTTTGCTTTAAAATCATGACAAGGGCCTGAAATATAAACACATCTCTCTCCAGATGGAGAAATAAATGAAGTAAAAGTGTAATGATTGTATGTAACACTGCAAATGTGAAAGGAAAAGCAATCCAGGGGTCATAACAGCAGCATCATTTTTCTTTTACTTTATCTAGACATGTAGTTAAATGCTCCTTCTAACGCACACGGCCGAGTTGTTGTGGCAGACAGGACTCCTGCTGGTCTTGGAATGATCTGAGCACCAGCTTCAGCAGACAGCAGGTCTGCAGACAGACAAGGGTTCCTCAGTAAGACAGATCACTCCTGACGTGATTTCTGATTTATGCAGTCAGCGATAAAGGTTGGATCCCCCTCCCTGTCATTCCTCAGCTGACTTCACACTGATCTGAGGAGGCAGGACGCACCGTTTCCCGCTCCCACCCGCCCCTTTCTCCGTCCTTGCGGCCGTCCAGCTCAGGTCATTTGTTTCCCCTTCCACCCTATTGCGGCCGCAGGCCCGGCAGAACACGCCGCCTGGCTTGTGATGACGAGGTGACCTTGAATCTCGACGTTGACCGCCGCTCGGTTTAAAAGCGAGGGGCGTCAGGACGCTCGGTACAAACACACCCAAACTGTCCCACCCTATCACGGATAAATCGTGACCAAGTAAAAGACCCATCGATCTCGTTTTGTGAAAAGAGAGGGAGGACGATGTCTGCGGTTATGCCGGCTCTCTGCTCTCAGGAGTCAAACGGAAATTCACTGCAAGGATGGATCTATTTTTAGTTGATGCTCAGGGATGTTTATGTCAGTGATTTTTCTCTCTCCGTCATAGCCCTTTCGTTATTAAGGTGTTTTTAATGTGCTTTAACGACCAAAAGAAACACTTATAATGGGAAGATCAAGCGTGCCTGATCTGAAGTCCGGGCCTTTTCTCACAGAGGAATCATCCTTTGACCTCCCCGCTTCCTGACAGAAAGAGGAAAAACACACGAATCCTCCGAAGGCTTGGGGAGAAGTTTATCCATTTCCTGACATAACAAAGTGAGACACGGGACGTTGTTGCAATAACCTTTTGTTTGGCCGAGAATCAAAGTAGGAGGCCTTGCGTCTGGGGAACAAATGCACGGTGGCGTGCTGGAAGCCCAAACACTTTGGGCTCACAGCGGAAAAGGTGAGGCACTCCTTCAACAAGGGCGAGGGCTCCTCAGACACCTTGAAAGTCTCCCAGTATTGTCCTGAAGACTCGCATAGCACGGCTGCTGCTGCTGCTGCTGCTCGGGTGAAAACACCAGAACGAGCTGAACCGAACAGGCCCTGAACAAAACCCAGCGTTATTTTCAGGAACCTCTCAGCTGAGATGGATACTTTAAATCTAACCTAATATTAAACACACAGAGTAACAGTTCTGGTCAGAAATTTGAACACACCTAGCATTTAAATATATTTTATTAAAAAAAAAAAGAAGTATTTTTATGATGTATTGAAATTGTTCCTTTTTTTTTTAGTGTCGAATAAATACAGCTTTAGTTAGCATAGAAAGTAAGAGATGCACAGTTTAAATAAATTGTGAATTTTATCAAATGTGCGTTGGTCAAAATTATACATTACACACAAGTTTAGATAGATACACACTCCTCCACTGATATTTACTATCAATGTACATTCCTTATTTGACTTGTATAGATCGATTTCTCATCCTGACTTAATGTTTAAGTAGTCTGTACATGTAAGGTTAAATGGGCCATTAAAAACCTCTATTGTTTCCCTCCTTGTATGTCATTTATGCTTATCAGAATCCCAGTCTGATCAAACTGTCACCCTCAGATGAAATTCAATTGATTGAGATGCTCAGGAACCAATCGAGAACAACCTGATCACAACCGTCTGCGGCGAATAGACCGAAAGACTGCTGACTCAGAAACAAACTAACTTTGATGACTCTACATCCAGTACAATGTGTGTGTTTTAACGGGACCCTGCTCCAGCAAAGCTGATTGAAATGATTGCGCTCTCTGCTCAGCGTCTCTCGAAGTCGAACACGATTTTCAGCCTTCTCTCGATAAGTGGAAATCCACAGTGAATGTAACTATTTATTCGTTTATTCAGTTTCCCGTTGGGTTCAATGAAGTGTTTTCAAAGTTGAATTTGAAACTTGTGTACCCTAAAGCTGTTAACATAAACATTCAAAAAGGTGACGAAACGTCTGTGCAGATGTATCTGTCGAAAGATCAGCTTATATTGTAACACTTTTATATAAAAACAACATTTAGTTTGCCATGCAGTGAAGGGGCATAATGTACTACACAGAAAGAAAAATAATGTGGAGTATTTATATATATTTATATATATATAATCTTTTTAAACAATAAATAAGAAAGTAAAATGTATAAATGGCTCATGGTGTTATATAACAAATCTTACAATCCCTGCTCTGATGGTAGCTCCGTCTAATAATAACACAGCTGACATCATTTGGAGATTAAACGTTCAGGGAGGCCCTTCTAACAACATCTATAACTCATGTCCCAGGCACTTTGTTTGGACTCATTTCCCTCTTAATGTGGACTTTCTTCTCAACAGTTCTGCTAAAATGCAGTGATTTCCGTCACGTCTGCTGAAGCTTGTTGCTGTTAAGACCTGCGTAGATAAAACTTTGGTTTGACATCTTTTTGCTTTCCTTCAACGCGCCATCATATTCAACATTTAAATAAAAGGTAGTATCCGTTGTGCTGCACGTGGTCAATAAATACACTTTACATTATCTGGACTGCGCCTGGAATGTAACTTCTTCGTCCTCATACTTTCGGAGTCTCCGTAATTGGAAAGTCTTGTATGTTTACTCAAACCACGGCCACATAGTTCGCAGCCACAGTCGCTCGTAGATAATGTGTTTGTTCGTTTCTGCTCTTTCCTCCTTCCTCCCCTCCGGTTTGAGAGTGTTTTATGCGTGTTTTTCTGCAGCTTCTTGGAGGACTCCGCTTTACCTCAACTCACCATCCTCAGGAGTGAATACATGCCCAGCTTCTGAAGACTTCCTTCAAAGTGTGAATTCAGCCTTTAATCTATCGTTTAACAAAGAAAAAAAAAAAACATTTGTTCACTTTGGTTTCGGATCCCATTCATAGCTGTAGCAATCTCTCTTATTGCTGTTTGGATTCCTCTGGATCCACAGTTTTGTCTGCTGTCTTGTGCATTTGGCATGTCAAGAGGATATTAATGCAGCGATCCATCTTTTGCATTCCTGGTGTTCTCCGCTGTGTTAGAGTCAGCCAGTGTTTTCTGTCTGTTTTCCCCACATGAGTTGCTCCACAAGACCCGAGCCAGAAGCTACTGAAGTGAAAATCTCTTTGCTTTCCAGGTCATTTTGCATTGCAGATGCACTGCGAGGCTCGGCAGCGCGTGTTGTTGACATCGTCAATGACATCCTTTCCGGTAGCTACAGTGGGGGCGGAGCAGGCAGGTGAGTACAGATGGATGTCCTGCTGAGGGTACAGCTGTCCTTTGTCAAAGCAAACATCTGGTAAAGGTCGGCCTGTTCTCAAGCGGCGATGCTGCAGATGGCGACAGCGGCGGCAGAAGCGTCGATGCTCGCGGCACGGCGTTCACGAAGCCCAGCCGCCGCGTGCTTTCAAGCGTGTCTTGGCGCGTCCGTCTTCCAGGTGTTTGTCAGTACAGGTTGTCCTTAGTGGTGGAGGTGTGTGTGGCCGTCGAGTCGTCCGGGAGGGAGCCGCGTCGGCCGAGTCGTGACCGACACTGCAGCAGGTTTTGAAGCTCTGTGGACACGCTGCTGGAGAAAGCCGTGTAGATCCACGGGTTGGTGCACGAGTTCAGGCTGGCCAACAGCATCAGGATTGTGAAGGCCACTCCTGCAGAGGACACAGGAAAACAAGCACATGACTAAAATGCAGCATTTCTCCACTGTTAGTCATCGAGCAACCAGGAAGTTCAATGTGTTCAATTTGGGATATTTTTTTGACAAAAAGATTTCACCAATTCTCCTTTACAGAGCAGCTCCAGCTAAGGCAGGCCGAATGGACGGCATCTCAGGAGATCGGTTTGCAAGTTTTGCCACAGATTGTCAACAAGTTGTGGGTTTAAACTTTGACACATTAATTAATATATATGAATACCCCAGGGAGAAAAAAAACTGTACCTACTTCCTTTTTTAAATTTTGTTATGGATCTAATAATCTAATAATACATTGTTTGTATAACAACTAGAATAGTTTACTTCACTCGGGAACAGCAGAAACGCTGAAACCACTGTTTTGAATACAGAGCTGATAACAATCAGTGTGTGTGTGTGTTTCTATTTGTGTGTTTGTGGAGCTGCATGCAAGGAAGGACTCATTCATATTTAAACTTTGCATATGTATGCGTGTGTCCGCTCGTGTGGGTGCTTACAAGCTTACGTGGCTCATCCGGCGTTGTCCACCCCTGTGTGTTTTTGGCCATGTGTGCAAGCTGCTGGCACGCACCTACGTGAATGAAATGTGAACACCTGGCTGCGGTGCAAAATTAGCATGGACACAAACAAGCTATTTACTGTGGCTCACCCACTCGCCCAGCTAAAGGCGGAAGCAGCCGCTCTTGGTTGCACCGATCTCTGGCTGCCAGTAAATGCATCAACAAAAGTTGTTTTGTGCTGAAAATCTACAGAGACATGCGATCCAGGGGGGTTCTGGTTGCGGGTCAAAACAAACATTGTTTTTTGACCTTGTGTTTCATTCGCCATTACATCATCTGAGCTGCGGCCGGTTCTTGTAATCAGAAAATGGTCCTTGGAATAACGAGGGATCCTTTCTCAGTGAGATGGACAACAGCAGCGATCGGAGGCTGCTGCTGAGTAACGCAATCGCTTAGTTTTTTTATTTTTTTGGGGGGGGGGCTGTGCAATGTGGCAAAACAGATCAGGGTTGCCCATTTAAAGCAATTAAAAGGATTAACATGGCTCAGGAGAATGAATGCATGTGGGACAAAACAGCATCAAGGATTCACTTTAACTCCCTGGATGCAGATGCTTGGTTGTCTTGTTTTTTTTTAATTTTTTGCTTAAGGATTAAAAACAAACTGTGACTTAAACAAGCATTCCTACTTCTAAGACTTTTTGTTGCATTAGAAAGCAAAAACTTTCTTGTGTTTGATTGAGATTTCATGTGACTGACACACAAAGTTCTGTATAATCCTGAAGTTGAGTGACAGTGGATATCAATTTCCAAGTCGCAGATTCTCAATTAGAATTTGGTTTGGACTTTGACTGCACTGCAGCGCTGGTTACATGAGTCGCTCCGTTAGAAGGTGAAGGTGGTTGGCGCTATCCATCAACTCTAACCAGTATCTCCGCAGTATGACTCTGTCACTACCATGTTTGTTCATGTAGAAAGCTTTTGCATCCATTGCATGGGAGGAAAACTGCAGAGAGGACCTCTTATGTCTTCCTTATTGGCTCTAAACTATTAGTTGTTCCATCCACGGATTGTTACACCTGAGCTGTGAAGTTCTCCATCTCCTCCGGTTGCAACGTATGTCTTGGGTTTTTCTCTGATTATTGGTCTCCTTGCTCAGGCTTTCACTTTATAGTTATTCTTTAACTTACTAGTGTGTACCCTGTTTTTTTTTTTAACTTGTTTTGGGGTTTTTTTTTGTTTGTTTGTTTTTTTATGAATGTTTCCATTCTCTAATGCTCTCCAACAAACCTCTGAAGAACATTTGGCTTTGGCTGCAGGGGATTTGGTTGTACTGGATTTTATCAGAGTAAAGGAGAGTTTATATTTGTAAAATATGCTGAAAACTACAAATTGTCCTTCTACTTCAAATTTGGGATCTGCTTTGTGTTAGTCTGTCACATAAAATTCCCCACAACATGCATGTAAGTTCGTTGTGCTGCACCTTTACGTGATGTTTGTCACCAACCTTGGTCTGGAGGGTCTGGATCCCAGGCCGCCCACAGCTGGACGATGAAGAACGGCGACCAGCAGACGGTGTAGACCAGCACTATGACCAGGGTCATCCTCACCGTCTTGGACATTGCCTTGGTGATGCTGGGGGGTGGAGTGACCTGATGCGGAGGGGGGGCATAGTCCAGGGAGCAGCGGACGGACTTGGCACAGGACTCCCGGAAATCCGAGCCGTTCGGTATTTGCTCCTGCGTCAGCGATGTGGCTGCTGTCTGATGTTCGCCGCAGCAGCTACTATACTGAATAACAGACGGCACATAGTCGTAATGTTCTCCCACTTCGCAGTCGTGGGCGTCATTGTCCTTCAGGAGCTGTCCTCCTCCTTCTCTCCCCGCCGCCTGTCTTCCCCTCTCCCTCTCTCGCTCGTCCTCCTTCCTGAGGCCCTGGAAGCGAAGAAGGATTTCACTCCTCTTGAGCTCAGCCATCATTATCCTCTCTGACTTCAAGTAGATGTTGTGGATCTCCCGGAAGATTCTTATCTGAAACACAGGATTTGTAGCAGCAGATCAATGCGAGGAAACCAGATGAGCTTTAAAAAACGCCACGTGCCAGAATAAAGAGAAAGAAATTGAACGCTCAATGGACATAAAAATGAAACTATGTTGGCTTCAGTTGTCTACAATAAAAACCGACTGTGAAATTTTTTAGTAGCATCACTAAACAGGTTTATCTCTTCACTGCCTTAGAGAAAGGTGGCCATTAAATTTTATTGCAGTGAAATGTTTATGCAGCTCCTTTTAACCACTCAATCTCTTGCTTCTGTTCCAGTTTTCCTTTAAAAGGAAATCTGAAACCCATTTTAGAGGGATTTTATGATCTCTAATTCACCGCTACCTCCAAAGTTGTGGATCTAATTAACCAAACGTAGCTTTCGGACTCACTACGTTCAGCATTTTTTCAGGTTTTGATCATATCTTCCCAAATACGGTGGCTCTCAAAAGTGCACACTTTCCTGTGAAGTAAAAAACGAGATCACGATGAATAATTTCCTATGGTTTTCCACCTCTAAAGTGAAATTTATTTTGTCCAACTGAACTGAAGCCGACAAATCCACAAGAGGAAAATATTTTTTTGTTTGTTTTGTTATTTTTAAACTGCAATAACCTGGTTGTGCAAATGTGGACACCCTTAAACAGATATGCTGTTGGAATGTGTTTGATACTTTCTCAGAATTACGTCTAAGTTCACATCTATTAACAATGATTTTGAATCCGATCAAACTGAAACAAATTTCAGTTGTCCCAGTGTGCTTTTCATGTCTTCTACATATTTCAGCTAAAACTATAGTTAGCAGAGAGGCTACAGGATTAGGAGAAGCTCAATGTTTGAAGGCACCAACTGTGACACAATGAAGCCAGTCATCATTAACTGGGAAAAAGAAAGAAAACGGTAAAATTACAAAAACTGGAAATTTCTCCAAAACTGTCTCCAAAAGAGACAGGTAGGCAGCCAATTGGGAGGGCAACAGCAGGGTATGAGCAAAGGTTTAGGTCAAAGGTTGTAGAGCTGTGAGACAGAAACCTTTTCTTCAGGCAAAAAAAAAAAACTCTCAAACCTGCAACTCCCATGCAACTACGTATTATGATCTAAAGAAATTAAACTTAAAGTATTGGAATTGGTACACAATTCCAAAATGTGTGCTAGACAACACAGATCCTCTCCAAAAGAACCCCACACCACACGTGGTAGTGGCAGTATTATGCTCCAGGGTTAATTTTGGCTAAGTTCACACTGTAGCTTGAAGAGACCCAATTCTGATTTTTAGTCTGATCGCATTTTTTGTTGTTGTTGTTGTTTTTTTTTG